TGGCGACTGATCTGCCTCACCCGGGAAGAGCGCAATGATGGTGCCAACTTGGGCCAGTGAAGCAACATCCTCCACAACTAGATTGAAGAACAAAAAACGACAGCAACTTGTCTGTTCCCCTTCCCCCAATTCCCCAATAAAAATCTTTAAAAAAAATAAATAAATAAAATAAAACTCGAGATACTAACCAGTTAAAGATAATACACACAAAGAATTTAAATAACTCTGACATAATAAGTGAAAAAACAGTTTACAATTTATACAAAGGATAAGATCCCAATTTTTTAAAAGGTATGGAAAAGTTATAAAAAAGTATGCTTTACAAGATGTTTGTTGTTTGTAATAAGCTAGGAGAAGCTATTGTGATATTTATAAGTGATATTTACCCCCTCATTCTTTTTAATTTTAAAAGTACTAAACTGGGTGTGCTATCTCTTCAACGTAGTGATTTTGTTTCCTTTGGATATATACTCAGAAGTAGACAAATGAATAAAGAAAATGTGGTATATCATTTGTGACAACATAGATAGACTTTAAGGGCATTATGCTAAGTGAAATAAGTCAGAGAGAAAAAGATAAACACTGTATAATCAAACTTACATATGGAATAAAAAAAACCCAAACTCATAGAAAAAGAGATGAAATCTGTGGTTACCAAACATGGAGGATGAGGAAGCAGGACTTGGTGAAGGTGGTCAAAGGGACAAACTTCCAGTTACAAGATAAATATGTACTGGGGATGGAATGTACAACATGATGACTCTAGTTAACATTGCTGTGTGGTATATTTGAAAGTTGGTGGGACAGCAGATCCTGAAAGTTCTCATAAGGAAAAGAAAAAATTTTTGTAACTATATGTGATGATGGATGTTAACTAAGTGTAGTAATCATTTCAAAATACGTGTGTCATTTTACGCTGTATACCTTAAACTTACAGTGTTACGTCATTATATCTCAATAAAACTGAAAAAGAATTTTAAATAAATACTAAATATGTCTCCTTCTATGGAAGGAAGGAAGGGAGGGAGGGAGTGAAGAAAACAGAGCATAAGGAGACTGCCCATAAGAGATTATTACAAAGGATATAATTTCCACCCTGACATCAAGGAAGTGAGGATGTCTGCTCTGATTCCTAGCTATCGTTACTTCCTATCCCTGTGACTTGGGCAAGTTTCCTAGACTTCAGAGTGGAGCCTAAAACAGTAACTACAGAATTGTTGTGAGGATAATCCACATAAGGCATCTGGCATACTACCTGGCACTTGGTAAGTAAGCACTTAATAAATATTAGTTTTTATTATAAAAACCACTTTAAGACACAATCATTTTGATTTCCTTGAAATATTTTCTTGTGAGAGAGAACCTAATTTTTAGTATTTGATCAGATGATGCTATCCTGAACCTCAATAATGATGCTAGGTAGAATCTAATCAATTTATAATAAAATAATACGATTGTGTCAAAAGGCCATACTTTCGGTGTAAATTCTTGGAAGGCAGGAATCATGCTACAACTAAATTACCTACACAACAAAACTATTATTACATAATAACCAACAAATCACTAACATGGTAATATAATTAGAAGCTTTTTATAATCTAAAAACTCAGGTGCGTGTATTGAGCATTGAAATGTTTTGCAACATAACATGGGATAGTCTCTTCATTGGGTAAAAAAAGTTTGTCCTCTAAATCTTTCAGGTGCTATAACCTACACGAATCTGACTGATTTTCCATTAGAGAAATGCAATTCTTTCTTCACATCAGCAATAAAATTAAAGACTTTAATGATACTCCATTCTGAATTTAGGTAGATTACTTTTTTTAAACATAGAGAGGCTTTAACAATGTTTGTGTTCACTTAATATTTGATATTATGTTAGTTCCTTTATCATTTTATAAAATCAAGTTAAAAAAGAAAAACAGTTAAGTTTCTAGCTTAAATTGTTACAAGATAGGTTTTAGTTATGAAGTACAGAATTAAGGACAATGTGAAATGAAAATTCCAATAGTGACCATTATTCTAATTTAGACTCAAAAGCCATTTCAGATCTGCCTTAAAGAGATGAAACCCTATTTTTATTCTGTTTATGAGGTATAGAGCAGTTATTAACTAAGTTATAGAAAAGACTCACTAGTATGGTTTAAGCTTTTGTTTTTATTATATGACAAAACAAACTTAAATAAAAACTTGTGATGTTCCCACATATTATCTTTATCAAAGAGTTTAGAGGTTCCTATCTCCTTAACAGACTATAAAGCATGTAATTTTAAAAGTCCACTAAAGCTAAAAATCATATATTTATAAACCTTTTTGGAGTCAATGAAAAGCCTTATTTCTATTCAAATGCCACATACTGTATGTTACAAGCATGGGTGATAATGCCATCACTAGTAGTGAGGATGTAAATGTTAATAATATATCTTTTAGACAGGTTTTTTCTACAGCTTTAAGATATAAATATACATTAACTTACATGTTTACTAGGAGAAGTCGAAGATTCCAGCTCTTGTGATAAAACCATGTCTTCAGTCAGTACGCTGTGGTCTGGACTTCCTGGCTGCTCCTGACCGATAGGCTCGGACGGTATGTATTCAGCAGCAGGGCTGCCCAGCTCCTCTGGAATAGAGCTTTCGCTGTGTGGATGAGAGTAGGAAGGTACTGGGGACTCCGTCTCACTCGCTAGTTCTAGGAAAGAGGGTGAAAACAAGAAAAAGGACAAAATCTTGGTCAAGGAAATGTTCACCTGTTACACTTCACATTTGGTTTTAGCGTAATTTCACAGTTGAATTTGGATATAATTTTTTAATCCCATCACTGAATCACATTTACTATCCAGTCTGTTAGTCTAAGAATTTTGGCTGACGCAACTGACATCAGATCTCCATAACATATATAATCAGCAACGACAGTGACTGACAACCTAAGTGCCTGTGTAGACAGAAATCAAATGTCACATAGCAACAAAAATGAATGAACGAAAGCTGCATGCCTCCGTGGAGGTACACTATGAACTGTTTATTGGACACTTCAGAATTTCTAGCACTCTCTTGCCTCCAGAATTTCCTGTCCATTGTGGCCTCTCATCTTTCTATGAAAATAGAAATATGTTTGACACTGAACAGAAAATTCTTGACATTATACTTGTATAATCCACTACTTTCCTTTGTCTCTACAAGTAGAATGCCCCACAAAAATTAGGTTATATTCCACTTTGGATCAGTACTGGTAACATCTGATATACTCAATTCTAAACAGCACTTAAGATTTTGAGCCTAAAATCTGTAAAATAAATATATTTAACATAAGAAACACCTATACCGCAAAGAATATTTTACTTTCATAATAAACAAGGATGACCTGACATTTAAAAGCACTTCAGGGGGCCGGCCGAGTGGCGCGTTGGTTAAGAAATGGCTTGGGACGCCAGAGGGCCCCAGTTCGGATCCCACATATGAGGGCCAGTGACACTGCCCTCTACAGCTAAGATGCTGAACAACGGCTCAACCTGGAGCTGGGCTGCCATGAGTCGCCTGCCATGGCGTAGGCTGCAGCCCCTGCTGTAGTGGGTTGCCATGGGCTACCGCATGTAGCCAGCAGCCCCCATGAGCGGCCGTCCAGAAGCTGGCAACTGATCTGCCTTGCCTGGGAAGAGCGCAATGATGGTGCCAACTTGGGCCAGTGAAGCAACGTCCTCCACAACTAGATTGAAGAACAAAA